GTCATACAACATCAGACTGTCATACAACATCAGACTGTCATACAACAACAGAGTGTCTTCAGTCAGAGGCTTCTTCAGATCTGCTGTAGGACAAGAGATCCTTCCTGCCCACAGCCATCAGCATCTAGAACAACTCTTTAAGGAAACCAGGATGATGAGTTACAACAACATTTAATTTACCTCTGGGATTAATAAAGTATTTTTGAATTGAATTGAATTGAATTGACAGGTGCTGAAGTTTCAGACTTACAGAAATCACCTGATTGCCTCAAGAAGTTACTGGGTGTAGATTCTCTCTCCTCCAGGACAAAACCAGCAACTAGACTTACAGTTTATAGTTGAAGACGTTTATCAAGCTAAATCCACATGCACAATATTCTCACTATAGTCATCTCTTGAGTTTTAATGCTTCAGTATAAATTTAAGTGGCTTTACGATATCTTCTGTGTTTTAGGAGTGAGTACCTCACAGAGGTACCATCAGGAAAAATATTTTATCTTTGCCTTGACTCCACAGCAAGTTCGAGAAGTATGCATATCACGGTAAGTGTTTTTTAAAATATATTTCTCACCTGCTGAGCGTCACATAATCTTTCAGGAGTCGACTTAAGTGATTTCTGCTTGTCTTGAACATGGGTATTCAATTAAAACTCGCTGAACTCGCCAGTTACTAAAATTTCCTCCTAGTAAAAGTCAGAACGAAAGTCCAACTTTTGACTTTTATGGTCTTGCCTATCCGTATTCACATCTTCACTGTTAACAAACTGTACTTTACAGTAAACAACTAACTCTTTTACCATATTTAAAAGTAGTCCCAGGTGAATAAGTTTAGGGCCTTTATTTCAGATTTAAACAGAAATCTCAGAATAAAATACATATTAAATGTGCAAACAGAGCCAAATAAGCCTTTTTCTCTTACATAGAAGAGGTCCAAGCCTAAAGAATTGAAGACACACGTAAAGTAAAAAAGTTAACATCTTTAGTAAACAGAAAACAATAAAAAATGGCTCTTTTAGTATAAAAAAGTGTAAACAGAGCAAGTAGTTTGGAAGATACTAATATAAAATATTATAATAAAATATTCATTCACCCTTTATTTAAACGGGGTAATCCCATTGAGCCTCGGGGACTCATTTACAAGAGAGACCTGATTTTTTTAACAAAGAGTGATGACAACAATGGATAACAACGACAACAACAGACAGTCATAAAATAGACATACAAATATAAGTATGTTTTAAATTTTTTTTACAAATCAAAACAAAATAGCAACCAAAAGGACAATCAAGAGGAATAGTACCAAGAAACAGCAACATTATAAGGTGATTTAGAAAACTAAAAACAAGAACATGTCTGCATTGGTTTTTGCCAGTGTAACCCCACTTTTACTTTGGTTTGACTCCAGCGAAACGATGAACGTCACTCAAGAACTCAGCCTCAAGATCTTTATTTCTTTCAGCACATCACTGTTACAGAAAAACAAAGTGTGTTTGGTGGTGGTTTGATGTGCAGCTCCTGCCCCTTTCTCCAAACGTCACGCAGCAAAAGGCCCCGAGCTGCTAACAGCTTCCAACTTTTAACAATATGATCGTATAGTTTTAAGAACAAAAATATTTCCCATAAGAAAAAAAAAATGTACATCAAGTCCCATTATTTACAAATTAAAATGCAACTAAAAATGACAAATGGAACAAACATAAAACTCCCTCGTAGTAATACAAAAATCAACATTTCTTTCCAGAAAATGTAACCATACCTGCTACAGAAAAACACAAGTGTGGTTGTTGGTGGTTTGATGTGCAGCTCCTGCCCCTACACAGCAAAATAAGGATACATTTAAAATACAACTTATGCTACAATAGCCACAAGGTGTCGCTGCTAACGGCCACAGATCCTAACAGATTTAACTAATTTACTCCCAACAGATAAACTGCAACATTACAAACTACTTGTACAGGTTGTGACAAAACCATTTAATATAATTTAGTAACCAGTTTGAATCAAGAGAGGTTAATTTTTTACAGTTTAGTATTGAAAACAAATCACAGAGCTTTAATCCTATACCTACTCTCCAACCGTCACGCAGCAAAAGGGACAAGCTGCTGACGTCATGCACATACATTTACCACCACTAGGGGCGACAAAATTACACAAACAAAAGTTTTAAATACATGCAAATACGCTAAAACTCTTTTTTTTCCCCAAATAAAAACGATCAATAACAAGTAACAGAAAAACTTTCTTGCAAAAGAAGTAAAATACTTGTAAAAATAAAAGTTAATTTTGACAGAATTCAACAAACTATAACAACTCTGTTACATACACCCCCCCCTGAATTCGTGAAAATCACAAAACCACAGACAACTCTATGAAATGTTGGCTAGATCTCTTCACAATACTCGTGAAACACTAAGTGAATAACATACACACAAAACAATGTGCTTTGTCAAGCCAAAAAGGCTGTTCACTATGGAACCCAAGAGGACTATGCAGCGCTAAACATAGATCTCTCACTGATGACCTAAAAAGTGCCTGTTTACACCTCCCAAATTCACTTCAAATATAGATTGCCCATTCATAATGACGTCTTCTATCATCTTCGACAGCTTCTACCCTGAGGCTGTTAGACTCATAAATCTCTAACCAGAATAATCACTGTGAAAAACCACATCATGTTGCTGCTGATCTGTTTCATGTTGCTGCTGATCTGTTTCAATGTTGATGTGTTCATGCGTGCACATCCGCTCACACAGACTCATGTTCATGTTTGTGCTGATGTTCAATGTTTTTATGCTATTAGTGCTTAGTGTATATTTAGTTGATGTTTTTCTTAGTTCATATCTTAGATGTTATTACTGTTTTTCTTATACATTTTATTGTTGGATGTAACTGGGACCCTGTGTACATAATTTCGCTCCACCACATGTACCACATGAGGTGCGAATGACAATAAAGAATCTCTGACTCTGACTCTGACATGGCTCAGGCAGGAAACCAAATAAAAGGGTAGTACTAGTACAAGTCAACCTGCATTTATACAGGGAGTGCATAAGTCCATGTGCCAAACTCTGCACTTTGTTAATACCACACCCTTGAATTCATGGCTTCAATAAGTCTACAGACAGGCTTAATGATACGGCCAGCACGAGTTTTAATAGGCACAACACCTTCTGTATGACCTTCAGTTTCACAAACATCAGGTCCAAAAGTCACTGGAACCATTTCGTTGGACACTTCAGCCTCTGCACAAGAATCAGACAAAGCAACTTCAGGGAGGTCAGGTTCCTCATTATCATCACAGTCCATGTCAATCACACAGGATTCCACTGGTGGCATGGGCATAGTAGATCCATTCTTTCATGGGGATCTGAAAAATTCACTGAGTGTGAGTATTAGCAACCACTGAATGATCAGGATCTGCAAAAGTCTTTATGCAAAGTCTCTTGCGCCCATCCATATCTGAAGCACAAGAAGAGATCAGGGAGGCACATCCATCAGAGTCAGGCAGGACTAGTAGGAAGTTCACACATAGCATTAAGTTACGATGGACAACTTTTGACAGGTCAGAAATCGGGTCATGGACTTCAAATGTGTGGATTTGAGTATTACGCTTGACCACAGTGTAAACCACCTGCTCCATCGATCAGCTAACTTTCTGCGTCCCCTCTCGCCTTTGTTTGCTAAGAGAACTTGGTCGCCAACTTCAGTCTCTACTCCCTTAACTCTTCTGTTGTAATGGTCCGCTTGCCACCTCTGTTCAGCACTTGTTTGTGCCTCTGCCAACACCATAGCTTCTTGAAGGTCTTTCTTCAGCTCCTCAACATACCAGGGGAAAGACATTTCACTGTCTTCTCCCAGAGAAGACCTGAATAGAACATCTACAGGTAGATGGGGAACTCGTCCAAACATGAGGTAGAAAGGAGGAAACCCAGTAGTCTCATGAGATGTGCTGTTATACATGAATGTTAGGGTGTGTAACCTTTGAGGTCAAGCTTGCTTCGCCCTTAGGGACAAAGTCCTGATCATATTTCCCAATGTTCCGTTGAACCGTTCCGCTGATCCATTCCCCATAGGATGATAGGCTGTAGTGTGAGACTTTTTAACATCTGAAATTTGAAGCATTGCTGCTATTAATTCACTCTCAAAGTTGGCACCTTGGTCAGAGTGAATCCTCTGAGGGAATCCGTAATAACAGAAAAAGTTATCCCACAGCCTTCGAGCCACCTGTTTGGCTGTTTGATCAGGGCATGTAAAAGCATGAGCCAGCCAAGTAAAGTGATCTGTCATAACTAAAACATTGACAGGTCTGTTGCTAGAGTCTTCTGCGGTCCAAAAGTCTATGCACACTAATTCCATAGGAGCTGTGGTTTTGATGCTCTGTAATGGTGCACAGCCATCTGGCTATGGTGTTTTGCCCATCACACACCTGGCACAACACTTTACATAATCTCTTACGTCACGCTCCATGGAACTCCAATAGAACCTTTGTTTCACCAGTGACAAAGTCCTGTCCTGACCCTGGTGGCCTGCATCATCAATGGCATCCACATATAGCATGCTCCCTTAATGGCAGTGAAATCATGTATTGATACCTCCTTTTCTTAGTGTGTGGATCTTTAGAACCACGAAGGAGTATGCCATCCTTGAGCACCAGCTTCTCCCACTGCTTCAGAAGTCTCAAAGCACCTACAGACTCATTTGCCCTCTCCCTCCGAGATGGTCTGCGCTGGCGCTCAACATAAAAAAAACACCCTTGCCAGATCAGTATCATTTCTTTAGTAGTCTCTTAGATCCTGTTGTGACATGGAAGGTAAGACCATCTGACCACCCATGGCCATGACACTCTGGCTGTGATTGAACAGAGTTGTGGATCTAGTCCTCACAGCCACATCCCACTTTAAATGATAGTCTAACAGAGCAGACACTTCAGCTGCAGGAAGTGAGGTAACCTGGGGTATCACCACATCTGATCTGGCCACTTCACTTTTCTGTACAGTTCTTTGAGAATGTTGGCCAATGCTTGACCACTTAAAGACCTCCTGCACATTTTCTCCAGACAAACCCTCTGACTCCTTCAACAAATGATCATATGGCTCACTGATTAGTCATTCACCAATCTGTTTCAATACAAAAGGCTCTCTACTGAGGGCGTCAGCAACCACATTTTGAGGTCCTGGGACATATTTGATGTAAAACTCATAAGCAGTTACCCTTGCAACCCAATGCTGTTCACAAGCATCCAGCTTAGGCTTGGTAAGTATGTATGTAAGGGGGTTGTTGTCTGTCCATGCAGTGAAAATGTGCCCCTTCAACCAGTGACTAAATTTGTCACAAACTGCCCATTTAAGAGCCAGAAATTCTAACGGTGGTACACGTCTTTATGGGAGTCGGAAGAGTCTCTCATCCACCAGATGGATTTTGTGTACAAAGTCCCTCACTTCTCCGCAATCAAGCTTGTGTTTGGAAAAAATATCAGAATATTTCAGAACAAGTTCAAGTACATCCTTCTTACAGTGGTCAGACACTTCACATGAGTCAAAATT